GGTGTTTTGTAGATGAGTACAGGCACATCCATGTGCATGTACGTAGGTGTATAGATGAGCATGTGCTTGCCTGCGCACGCGAATATTTACATACATATAGATATGCATACATATATATATATATGTATATATATATGTGAATGTGCGTATGTATGCAGTCTTGCATACATATTCATGTAATGGTATGTGTCTATATCCAATCATGCATACATGCGCACAAACATACATATATACGTGCATGCACATATACATATATACTTATATATGCGTAGGTGTGCGTGTGCATTGGCGTGCGTACTTGTATACGTAGATGTATATGTCCGTGCACATGTGTATCGACATGGGCGTGTGTGTGTGAGTGTGTGTGTGTGTGTGTTTAGATGCATTCACATGTATGTGTGTATGCACATGGGTATGCGCAGGGGCATCTACTTGTAACGGTTTGTGTACACTTGTGGATACACAACATACGTATACACATACATATACATGCACATAAAGGCATATATTTGTGTTTATGCATGTGTTTATATGTATGTTTATGCAGCAGTGTATGTATACGCGCACATATGTATGTATTGTATGCATACGTTCATGCCGAGACATATACATGTGTTTGCATATGTGTATGTACGTGCGCATGGAACTTGTTGTTTCTATGCTTATGTAGCTGCATCTGCGTATGCGTAGGTATAGTTACAAAGACACGTCTGCACACAATGATACGCGCTACCTGTGTAGGAGGACATGTCTGCACATGCGTATGTTCATGTATATGTTTCTGTGTCGGTATGTGTCGGTGCATCTGCATTTTCTTTATACAATATAAACGGCATAATTATGCGCGCGCTCGTTTGCAAGAGCGTGGGCACATCTGTTCTCTTTGGCCGCTGCGCGGGGCCGTGGCGATCGATGCTGGCGACAGGCGTACCCCCCTGGGCCGCAGGGGCCATCAGGCCCCAGGGGACTTTCGTCATTCCTCTTTCCTTCTCCCCAGAACCCCGATGTGGTGATCTGCTCACAACGCCGACCCCTGAAGGCCACGCTTTCCTCCCCGGAACGACTTTTTCATTTGAAGCACTTTTTTGAGGGTCCTGGGGCCCGCCGAGGGTCTCCAAAGATCAGACACTTCTCAAACATTTGTTTCGTGACTTCTTTTCGGCGCGACAGGGTCTGTGTTTTCGTGCTCCTGCTCCTGCTCCACCTCGTGCGTGTGTGTGTGTGTGTGTGTGTGTGTGCTGGTGCGACCCAGCGAGAGGAAAAACCGACCAGGCAGGGACGATGCAGCACACAGTTTCTTCTGGTCCGGGCCGCTGGCTGCGGCCTGGTGGCCTCGGCGCGACGACGACGACGACGACGGAGCAGGAGCGCGTGCCAGTTCTGCTGTCCACCTTCCGAGCCAGGCGCTGCGACCTCCGCCGGGCCCGTCTGGACCGTCTCGCCGACTGCGCCGCAGCACCGCTCACCGACGTGCACCGAGCGCCGAGCCTGCAGGGTGGGCCCCTGCCCTCCCCGCTCGCTCTCGGCGGGTCCTGCTCGGGGCACCCCGTGCTGATCCCCGCAGGGTCCACTAGGAGGAGGAGGAGGAGGAGGAGGAGGAGGAGCAGGAGGAGGAGGAGGAGGAGGAGGAGGAGGAGGAGGAGGAGTCTTAGGAGGAGGAGTATGATGAGGAGGAGGAGGAGCGGTCCGATCGATCCCATGCGATGCTAGTTCTGGCGGGCCCGAGCCGGTGCGACTCCCACACGCCGGCGATGCGATGTGGCCCGGTGCTCGCGCAGGGTGCCGCTGGTGCTCGACCGGGTGCCGCTGTGCACACCAGCGCGGCAGGGGGCCCCCAGCGAACCTGCCCCCTGACCCCCCACGATCTCTTGAGGGGGAGGGTGGGGTTCACATACTTCGTTCGGGAGCTCCCGAGCGAAGTGAACCCCACCCTCCCCCTCAGGAATCGTGGGGGGTAGGGGTAGGGTTCGCATCTGGCCCCCTAGCGGCAGGATCCGGTTCGGCCTCGAGTCCGTGCTGCTGCAGCCCGATGCGACGCACAGCCCGACTCGAGCCGGCTTCCTGGTGCGATGTTGAGCGATGGTGCTGGCTGCGCCGCCCGCTCCTTGGGTAGCAGGTCGTGGAGGCCTGGTATCCCTTCATTCTTTCGCGTCGATTAGCGTCGAGTGGCGTCTGGGAGTGGATGACACAGCGCCGGTTTAGCGTCGGTTGGCGTCGGTCGGCGTCGACGTCGCGCCGATCAGCGTCGATTCAGCGTCGACGAGCGTCGATTCGCAAGAGCCGACAAGATGGTATGGGAGGCTCCCGTGAGTTGCCACCGAAGCTTGCCCTTTGGCCACGATCATCGAGGCAGTCTGAAGCGACAGCCCCGCTTTGAAGACGAGCAGCCCTCCATCCGTGCAGCTGCTACATACGGTGCCGTTTTTCATACATGCTCCGCGTGCGGATCATGTATCAACAATGCAGGGATTTAGGATTAAAAACAACGATGAGCTCATGCATCAATTCATTCATGAATTAATCATGTATTAAAAATCCCTTTTTTGTTTTGTATTGTTGTTGTTGTTGTTGTTGTTGTTGTTGTTGTTGTTGTTGTTGTTGTTGTTGTTGTTGTTGTTGTTGTTGTTGTTGTATATATATATATATTTATAAAGACTCCTATGTATTAAAAACTGCCCTGGACGTTGTGAAGCTCATTTGTTTTGAATTCCACGGACCGCTCCTCGGGGGCGGCGGCTCGCCCCGCCAGGTGTCGAGTCTGCTCAGCGAGGTGCAGCGGACGTGGGCGTTCCTGGAGGCCCCCCGGCGCCGCGAGGGGCGGGCGCACGGGCGGGGGGCCCTGGCTCCGAGGGGCGGGGGATCTGCCCGTGGCCACCGCCCCGGGGGGATCGCTCCTCGGGGGCCTCGGCATGCGGTCGATGTGGACAGATTCGGACTCCTCCGAGCCTCTCCTCCTCCTCCTCCTCCTCCTCCTCCTCCTCCTCCTCCTCCTCCTCCTCCTCCTCCTCCTCCTCCTCCTCCTCCTCCTCCTCCCCCTTCCCCTCCCCCTTCTCCTGCTCCTCCTGCTCCTCCCTCCTCCTCCTCTCCTCCTCCTCCTCCCCTACTCCACGTCCTCCTCCTCCTCCTCCACGTCCTCCTCCTCCTCCTCCTCCTCCTCCTCTCCTCCTCCTCCTTTCCACGGCTCCGCCCTCTGCGCATCCCCCTCCTTCTCCTCTTCCTCCTCTTCCTCGTCGTCGTCCTCGTCCTCCTCCTCCTCCTCATCCTCTCCACTTTCCTCCCTTTTCTCCTCCTCCTCCTTCTCCTCCTCATCTTCCTCCTCATCGTCGTTCTCCTCCTCCTCGTCATCGCCTCCTCCTCTTCTCTCCCCCTCCCCCTCCCCCTCCTCCTTCTCCTGCTCCTCCTCGGTTCTCCTCGTCGTCGTCTCTCCTCCGTCTTTTCTTCATCCTTCTCTTCCCCTTCCCCTCTACTTCCTCCTCCCTCCTCCTCCTCCTCCTCCTCGTCCGCCTCTTCTCTTCATTCTCCCCCTGTCTCCTACACTGCTCCTCCTGGCTCTCCTCCATCTCCCCCTCCTCCTCCTACCTCCTTCCTCCTCCTCCTCCTCCTCCACGTCCTCCTCCTCCTCCTCCTCCTCCTCCTCCTCCTCCTCCTCGTCCTCCCTTCTTCTCCTTTTGCGTTGACCAGGCCTCATGCGTGCACATGTGGCGTTCTTGCAGTGAACGGAAAAGCGGCTCGGGTCAAGAAAAAACTTCTGGCGAGCCCCGCGGAAAATGACAGAGTACGAGCAACGTGCGAGACCATTAGTGAGAGTAGGCACCCGCCAGGAGGACAGCAACAGTAAATATAGGTAACCTTGAAGCAACCTTGAGATCGATGGTGAGTGTCGTCGCGAAGGCTAATTCAGGAGGGCGGCACGGACCTTAGTAAATAGACGAGGGAATATAGAAAACGTACTATCCATAGGTCGAGCCGTTACTGTATGTAAAGTTAAGATAAGTGCAGCGACGCTAAGCTTGAACGGGAATGGCACTGAGTGTGCGATGGCAGCTAAGTATACCCGCCACCCCTCATAGTGCTCACCATCACCTCCGATACCACCCGACCGAGTTTTAGTTGTATGCGCCAGCTAGTGGCACACGAACCAGCAGCACTGGGAGAAAAAGGGCATAATAACAGCATGCGGCTGCTGGTGCCCAGCAGGCAAAAACGTCAGATGCTGACATCATCTGAAAGTGTGACTGAGGAGCCACCAGCGTGTCGGGCAAGCTTGAAGCTTGCTGGGCTGTGCTGTGGTCAGTAGTCCACAGGCGGAGTGACAGATCATTCCCCCTACCGACGTGCCAACATTGCAACTCACTGTAGCCAGTAAGTTGTCAGCTGGGAGAAAAATGCAGAGTCAGGTCAGCCCTGCACGAGCGTCGTCCGCCTCCACCGCCACAACAAAAACACCCACTCCTCCACAGTAGGTGCCATCCTGGCAGGACTGCAGCGGGCAGGAGCTGTGTGGAGCCTGGAGCTCTGTGTGGAATCAGCCTGTAGCAACAAACAGCAGAAGCCACCACCAAACCAAGAACAGGATCAGAAGATGGACATGCCTCTTCTTCGCATGTACATCGGAAAAAAAGAGAGAGAACAATCAAACCAATATTCAAAAACAAAAAAACAAAGAAAACCATATAAACAAGAAGATGTACATGCCTCTTCCACGTGTGGTTTTGTGAAGTAATGAGGCAACGGCCGGCCTGCGCAGGCTGGCCTGTCAGGATCAACTATGGGCTTGTACTGCGGCCGTGAAAGCAGCAGCTGGTCATCGTGCGCACAGTGCAACTAGTCCGCTTATGTGGGCAGTTTGCTCACATGGACGTTTAGGACAGGAGGAAATACATGATCCCAGTGCGACCCTACCTTGGAGTTGGAGCCCCTAGGAAAGCAGCAGTAGTAGTAACAGTAAAGCTAAGCTAAAGCTAAGCTGAATCTAAGCTAAAGCTAAGCTACAGCTAAGCTAAAGTTCAGCTAGAGCTAAGCTAAAGTTCAGCTAAAGCTTAGTTAAAGCTAAGTTAAAGCTAAGCTACAGCTAAGCTAAAGCTAAACGAAATCTAATATAAAGCGAAGCTGAAGCTAAGCTACAGCTAAGCTAAAGCTAAGCTAAAGCTAAGATGGAGCTAAGCTGAAGCTATGCTAAAGCTAAGCTAAAACTGAGCTAACGCTAAGCTAAAGCTAAGCTAACGCTAAGATAAAGCTAAGCTAACGCTAAGCTAAAGCTAAGCTAACGCTAAGCTAAAGCTAACTGAAGCTGGGCTAACGCTAAGCTAAAGCTAAGCTACATCCAAACTAACGCTAAACTAAATCTAATATATGCTATGCTATGTTATGCTGCGCTATGGTATTGCATGTTATGCTGCGCTATGCTATGCTATGCTAGGCTATGCCTCGGTATGCTATGCTGCGCTATGCAATGCTATGCTATGCTATGCTATGCTATGCTATGCAGCGCTATGCTGTGCGATGCTATGTTATGCTGTGCTGTGCTATGCTATGCTATGCTATGCTGCGCTGTGCTATGCTGTGCTGTGCTGTGCTGCGCTATGCTATGCCATGCTATGCTATGCTGCGCTATGCTATGCTATGCTGGGCTATGAAATGATATGCTGTGCTGCGCTATGCTATGCTACGCTATGATATGCTATGTTGTGCTCTGCTATGCTAAAGCTCAGCGAAGCTAAGATGAAGGTAAGCTAAGCTAAGATAAACCTGAGCTAAGCTGAAGCTAAGCTGAAGCTAAGCTAAGCTAACAAGAAATAAGCTAAGCTAAGGTGGGATAAGCAACGCTAAGCTAAGGAGACGTAACTGGGGGAACCGCGGGGCGGATGCCGGGGGAACCGCCCGGGGCGCATTCCACCGCCCGGCCCTCTCAGCTTACCGAGTAAGAGCCCTTCTAGGCAGAGCCGAGGTAGGGAACACATGTCTGTGCATGCTGAGTTGCCTTGGCATACATAAACAAGGGCGCCCTCGAGGGCGCGAAGTTATTCGCGCTTCGCGCTTCGCGGTTCGGCTTCGATTCCTCCTCTTCCTCCTCTTCTCCCCTGGGAGGCGGCGCGAGAGCGCGAAGTTATTCGCACTTCGCGCTTCGCGCAGCGCGAAGCGCGAAGCTGGGAGCCCTTGATAAAAAACAAGTGTGAGCCTTGTGGGGCAGTGAGGCTTGACAGTCTCGCTGGCGCGTCCCTCTTGCCGGCAGGTGGCCCGCTCGCTCTGCCGGCAGTCGGCCCGCTCTTCGGCTCCCGGGTGGAGCGGCCACCGTTGCCGCCGCAGTCAATGCCAGCACGAGCGGTGTTGCGCACATGCAGTCGGGGCGTTGACCTAAGGAACCCTAAATAAGGAACGAGGCCCCTTTTCTCCACGCGTTGAACTTCGATCTCCCATGGAAAACCTAACGAACACCCAAGGCAAACTGCGAAACAACTAAGGAACACGGAGCCCCTCCCCAACGTAAAGGGTTCCTTCTTCAGCGCCCCGACTGTACAACTGTCTATGGGGAGTGCCACGAGGCACGAAGCCGATGTGGCCAAGCGGAGGCAAGCGCAGCAGCGAGTACGAACGCTAGGGGCAAACTCGCTGTGGAAGCTAACTGCGTGCGGCTGGCCTGCAGCAGAGGCTGGCTGAGTATTCGCATGCTGGTACTGCTGTTGTACTTGTGTGCACGAGCTCGAAATGAGTGGATGGAGCGCCTTGGGCGTCCATCAAAGTCAGCCTTGGGTGTCTAGCCGTGGGTAGATCTGGTAGTACACCTGGTCTGTGGACTCGATGTGCAATCCCAGGGCTGCGACCCAGCGTTTTTTGTAAGATAGCCCCGGACCTGCAAGTGGGAGAGTGCCACCAAGCGTGTCGACTGATCCGCGAGGGAAGATGGAGGGCGTGCAGCAACACAGGGCTGTGAGGAGACGGGGGCCTCGAGTGAACAGCATGTGCAGTCCTAGGTGCTGCCACCCAGGGTCTTGTAGGATAGCCCCAAACCTGCAGGAGAGAGCGCCTCCTCCTCCCTCCTCCTCCTCCTCCTCCTCCTCCTCTACTCCCTCCTCCTCCTCCTCCTCCTCCTCCTCCTCCCTCCTCCCTCCTCCTCCTCCTCCTCCTCCTCCTCCTCCTCCTCCTCCTCCTCTCCTCCTCCTCCTCCTCCTCCCTCCTCCTCCTCCTCCTCCTCCTCCTCCTCCTCCTCCTCCTCCTCCTCCTCCTCCTCAACCACCTCCACCGCGACCTCACAAGAGAAAGGGATGATGGTGCACATTGTGTGGAGCCTAGAGCACTGGTGGAAGCAGCCTGTATCAATTCACAAGAGAGGGCAGTACAACAAATCATAACAAGGAACAGTTGATGTACTGGCTCCTTCCACGCGTAGGTGTGCACGCTGGTGCCTGCGCAGAGCAAGTGATGATACTATGTTAAAGGTGGCGTCTGTGGACTGCCAAAGTTGTGCAGACACGTCTGCAACTGCAGGAGGTGGAGTGCCACTGGGTACCAAGCCGATGTGGCCAAACGGAGGTAGGCGCAACGGCGGGTACGAACGATAGGGGCAAGTCGCTGTGCAAGACAACTGTGTTCGGCTGGCCTTTAGCAGAGGCTGGCCGCGTACTCGAATGAGATGGTACTGCGTCTCCTCCTCCTCCTCCTCCTCCTCCTCCTCCTCCTCCCCCTCCCTCCTCCTCCTCCTCCTCCTCCCCTCCCCCTCCTCCTCCTCCTCCTCCTCTCCTCCTCCTCCTCCTCTCCTCCTCCTCCTCTCCTCCTCCTCCTCCTCCCCTCCTCCCCCTC